TCATACCTTCCATATATAAAGACTAGAAGCTGAGGCTCAGAGGCTTAAGAAACTTGTCTCAAATCCCACAGCCTTGTGGGCTTAGAATAATCAGTCCATCTAGCCAGATGTAGTGGGGCACGCCTGTAATCCCAGCACTAGGGAGGCTGAGGCAAGAAGATCATTACAAGTTCAAGACCAGCAAAGGCTGCAAAGTGAGCTCAAGGCTAGTCCGAACTGCATAGCAACACCCTGTATCAAAAAGAAAAAAAAAATTTAGTCCCTCTGACTCTTAAGCCCAGGGTCCTCATCACAACCCTACCACTCTCCAGGGAGACGGCAGCTCCCGAGCCAGGCTGCTTTACTTACTGTGTATCATAATGAATGGGAATCTGCCTGCATCTTTTCCTGAAGGAAGCCACAGTTTTATGTGTATGCAGTCCATCTCCTTACAGCCCAGGGGGGTTAGAGGGAGGCAAGAGACACCCAGCTGTCCAGCGGGTCCCTGGCACATCAGCTCCGAAGTGGCAGCGAGGTCAGTGCCCTATTTCAGGCATCCTTTCCACACCCTCGCCTTCCATGACCTTCCCAGAGGAAAAAGCATTGCTTGGTCAAGGACAGAACATTTGCTGGGTGATAGCTTTCAGCCCAAGTACAAACTAATGAATTATCAGGGTCCTGATTCAACATGGCTGAATCCCCAAAACAACAGCTTATCTTCCCCATGACCACTTCCTCTTTCTTCCTCACCCCAGTCCTGGATACAGAATGGATGCTAGGGGAGGTCCCAGTCAACTCCTTGAACCTGCCCTTCAAACTCCGCCCCTATAGAAAGGCTATAGTCTCAGCCTTCCTGTTTCAGGTCAAAGGATCCTCCCATCCCCCTTGGGTTCTCCCCACGTCCTCCTTAATAAAGGTCTTTCCTGTCCTTTTCTTTTACTTCTGCTTCTCTACCACGCCACTGAAAGCCTAACACTGGCCTTCTCCAACGTTACAGATGTTCACACTGCTTCTGATCTCCTTAGGATAGGTTCATCAAAAAAGTTAATGGCAGCAATTTTATCACTGCCTATGGACAATCTGTTGGCTCTGGAGCAACTCTGCCTGTTTTGCATGTAAGTGCTTCCAGTTCTGGTAATAAATCACGCATCACTGTCCCTATTTAACGAATGTAGCCTACTCAGCCATAGAGGAGGATAAGCATGAGCAACTTGCAGGAAAATGGACGCACCTTGAGAGCATAATGCTAAGTGAAAGAAATCAAGACTGAAAGTTAAATCTCACATAGTGTCTCTTGTATGAAAAATAAAGCAAAAATAACTCACGGAGCAAAATAAAAGATAGATGATAGGAAAAGAGGCAGACCTTCCGCAGATGGGGAGGGGAGATAGGAATGACAGAGGGGAAGGGAAGTAGAGGAAGGAAAGTGGATTAGGATGTGAGATATATATATATATATATATATATATATCCCTTTCCCATGATGAATGTATTCAGTATGTGTCATATATACTAACATTTTAAAAATAAAATTTTAAAGCATGAACACTGAAAGACAAAGATAACATGTCTGTTTTTTCACAGACATGACTGATCTTTGAGGAAGTTTAAAGGAATCTATGAAGAGCGGGATCTCTCAGTGTTCGGCTAAGATCAATTGAACCATCTATGTAAAGCGGGGGAAAACAGGCTTGGGGTTCACTCACCATCCCATCTAAATCCGCATCTCTCCAGATGCTCAGCTTGCTGTGGAAATGCAATGCATGAGATGCATTTCAGGAGCAAAGAGCTCTAGGTCCAAATCCCAGCCCTATCTCTTACTAGCCCTATGACTGACTGTTCATTTTCCCTATGGAGAGGGACTTTTCACATCATTTTACATCTTGTTGTTTGAGACAGAGTCTCACTATGTAGTTTAGGCTGGCCTTGAACTCACTACATAGACCCTCCTGCTTCAGCTTTTGGGATTACTAGACTGTCCCACCACCCCAGGCTCTATGTGGATTATAAAGGCTGTAACTCTAGACTGTGGCAAAGATGCCTGACCAACAAGCATCTTTGTACAACCAATGTGGAGTGTCTTCTTCCAGGTCAGAGGGAAGGTCTGTTTGCTGTCCAGGAGAATTAAGATAATGCCTCCCTTTGGAGCAAAGGTTGAACAGGTTTGCATTCAAAAATTAAGGCTTACCAAGCCTGGCGTCACTTAGCTAAGACACAAACCCACTGGATGTACCACATCTACCTGGGCTCACCTCTCCACAGCCCATAAGACTTGTGGGTCAAGGAGAGCCAACAAAAACATGAGCCTCATGCTGCCCCTGTGCTAAGAATCACAAAGTCCTTTGTTTCTGACCCAGGAGTCTCACATCTTCAGCCATCATGCATGAGACAGTGGAAGATAACTCATTAGTGCCTAAGTAGGTAAAATTCCAAAATCTTAGTAGTTCTTAACATAATCTGGTGGGACAAAAGGATCAGTCACTCACTTTCTCAGTTCTCAATGGCATCTGCTCCCTGTAGAACACAAAGCATAACAATATATAACACTGTGTGCATAACAATGTGTAACACAAAGACTGATAACTGCTAGCTTTGCTGGGTGTTTGACTCCAGGAGAAATCCATCAGGACCCCTGAGCCTTTAGCAGGGAGGGCGCATTCTCCCAGTGTGCCCTGCTGGCAGCATACCCAGGACCACACTTTCCTGCCTCTTTGGTCTTCTCCCTGGCCTCCTTTTCTCTCAGCCAGCCTATCAGTGCCCGGCCAGCCTCTTGTGTGGTTCTGCCTTTTCTCCCCTGGTGATTTCTCCTACTGTTGGCTTTAGGAACTTTGTATGGACTTACATCACCCTAAGGTACAGCCCTAGTCCAGCCACCTGCTAAGCAATTCCATGCCATGCTCAAGTGGCACAAAAAAGAACCTTTGTGGGGTCCTTCGCTGACCCCACCCACCAGCTAACCCTCCCTCCTGGTCTCCTGTTGAGCATGCAGTCAGCTCCAGGCACTCATGCTTGGCTACTTGCGTCTTTTTCCCCACAGCCAAGCTACTTTTGAGGGATGCTTCTTTCACATGACCCTCCCATTGCAGCCTCTCTGGTCCAGACCTTCCCCGCCCCCAGTAACCCCAGTATCTAGCTCTTCTTGGCTCCACCCATCCTGCTGTTGCTAGAGTTATGTTCCTAAAATATAAACCAAATCGTGCCACTTCTTTGCTTCGAACCCTTCATTTTCTCCTCACAGCCTACCTGACAGTGTCAAGGTTCCTGAACACCACCACTCACCCCGCTTTCTAAATGTTATTTCCCACCCCACTCCTGTGGCCACTAGCACTCAAGATGGGAAAGAGTTGGAGAGGCTGTATCTTAAAATAATACCCACTAAATGCCACTAATTGGTTTTAATTTGATTACTGGGAACGAAGTTATAAAATGTTGGACTAATTAAGTCACATATGTCCTGTTTGCCTAAAACCCATATAAGCATTTTTAGTTTTTCTTAGAAACTAACCTAACAATTTGGACCAGGTGCCCTATCGTTAGCCAGAGTTAGTTTGCTTCTTGGGATTCCCTTGCGAATGAGCTAAGCTCCACTCTACTCTGTTACGGTGCTCAAAGGCAGTTTCTTCGTGGTGGACTTATATCCACACCTCTGTCTATGTGTGCGGTAAACGGTATATATATAAATATCATAAACAAATGCTACATAGAGACCGCTGTACTTTAAATTTCTTCCTCGACCTCTAGGCAGACAAACCAACACCCTCTTGTGTCCACTAGGAGGCGCTGAGTCGGCGAAGGCTGGCGGTACCCTCACGGTGCTAGAGGTGGCGATGGATGCAGCCGAGGAGGAACCCGGCTTCCTGTTTTACAAATTAATGTGAGCTAGAGGACAGAGTCGCGTTATTTTAGGGAGACTTTGTCGCACTCCCCCTCCTGCACATAGATATCTTCGGTGCGCGCGCCTCGCTCGCGGACCCCATGGAGAGCCCCCGCCGGTGGTGGCAGCGGCGGCTCCTTTCGCGGCCGGAGCCCGCGGAAACCTGACCCAGCCGGCGCGGGTACTGAAGAGGCGCTGCAAGCTGCGAACAAAAGCCCTAGGCGCGGGGCTGGAGCAGGGACGAAGGGTAAGCGAAGCCCTCCGGGACCAGCGGCTGCGGGCGCTCGCTGCTGCTTCACTAGCCCTGCCCGCCAGATGCGGTGGGGGCCCTGGCTGGCACTCGGGTGGGTGCTCAGAGACCCAGATGCCTGAGCCCGGGAGGGTGGCTGGTCCTTCTAGCGCCGCATTACCACTGCGAGCTTACCAGGCGCCCTGGAGTGACCCCGGCGTCTCCTGCATCCCCCGCAAATACCCGGCGGGTTGGGGGTGGGAGCGGAGGAGGCAGGCAGAGCTCTTCGAAAACACTGATCGGGAGGCAGGAACAGGAATCCATCCTCCCCTGCAAGGAAGGGCCTTGGAGCGTTTCTCTCTGCACTATCACCACCGTAGGCAACATGCCCGGGTGTCCTTTGGCGGTGGGAAATCACCCATAAACTTGTCCCTAGGCATATGAGATCCCGCAGCAATCTAGTTTGGGATGAACCCCCTCCCCCCCCCTTTTTTTTTTTGTTCCTGCGAAGCTGCAGCCCAGCAGCCCGCCTCAGCTACAAACAAAATACGCTAATCCTCCCGGGCATCCGCTAGCGCCTCCCTCGATGGTTGCTGCTTGCCGTATCTGATTCTTTATTTTCACTTGCAGCAGCAAGGGACTCTATCTAGCGGGGCAGAAGCTAGGGGGTACCTCGCCACGGGCCCCGCTTTCCTGGCTGAGATTGAGGCTGTTCTGAACACCTGCACCCTCCCTCCTGTCCACCGCCCCACCCGCGTTTTCAGTGCAAAGGTTTTACGTTGCATAAAACCTAATCCGAAAGCGGATTAAATGGGGGTTGGAGGATGATGGACAAGGAGGCATGAACAGCTCTCCCTGCATTCCTGTGTGTCCCTCCTTGTCATCCGCAGGGACGCCAACAAAGAACAAGGCTCAGCCATGGTAGATCCAGTGCCTGAAGAGGAGAAGGGAGCCGAGGTCCCAGGCTCCGGAGAAGGTGCGGCGGCCACGGCATCCGCGGCCCCCGACGTCCAGGGCGCGCAGCAGCCCACGGCTGCCTCGGCCTCCGCCTCCGCGGCCGCGCCCCACAAGGCCGAAGCCCCATGCGCGGCGGAAGGCGGGCGGCGCGAGCAGTCCCCGCTGCTGCATCTCGACCTCTTCAACTTCGACTGCCCGGAGGCCGAGGGCAGCCGCTACGTGCTGACCAGCCCGCGCTCGCTCGAGGCCTGTGCGCGCTGCGCCGTGAAGCCGGTGGAGCTGCTGCCGCGCGCGCTGGCCGAGCTGGTGCGCGAGGCGCCGGGCCGCTCCATGCGGGTGGCCACCGGCCTGTTCGAGGCCTACGAGGCGCAGCGGCGCGCCAAGCTGCAGCAGTGTCGCGCCGAGCGCGAGCGCATCGTGCGCGAGGAGAAGCGCCGCCTCTTCACGCCGCTGGGCCCCGCG